AAAGATTTTTTTTCAAGGCACATTCGTGATACCAATAATTTATTACGATTGGAGAAACAATCGATTTTCAAGCAATAAGTGGAATATTTGTGTTTGCAAAAAACGTGAAAGAGTACGTTCGATGGAATAAGAGAGACATAAAGGTATACTCATGAAATATTCATGATTATTCAGTTACCCTGTGTTGTACCTATATACTTGCTTCTAGAGCCTCACTTTATGAAGTTGCGTCATTTTTCTAGCTGTATTTGAGAATAAGAAAAAAAAAAAAAAAATAGAAGAAGAAAAAAAAATTGAGAAACATATGGACACAAACATAACGATGAAAAATGCGTGAGGGGTCTTAAATTGAAAAAATGATGGAGTAGCCACTCTTCAATCTTGGTACCTCAAAGGTCCCGTCGAGCATTTCGTAAACAAAATGTGCATATATTTCCATGAAGTTTCTGAAAGGTAAAAAAACAACGAACTCCCTTGACTTTGCTCGATAAAGTGTAAGCTCAAAAACATAGTATCAGTAATTTTTTCCACTTATTTTTTATTGTACAATTCCTGAAAGTTGATGCATTCTGAATATTCCGATACAACAAGAGTCAAACAACGACATAAACAATACTTTCCTTTTCGTGGACGGTGACTTGCAATAAAATAAACTGCCAAAGCACTTACCACCCTCATACCAACTGCATCACAGTCTTTTATCATCAGAATATTAATTGGTATTTGTTTATGGATCACTTCTTTAAAAAGACCATTTATCATTGGCGAATGTTCTGCATAATCTTGTAAGTTAGCTTTTTTTGGCAAACCTTGCAAAGGTTGATTACCATGAAAATTCCCCCGTAATCCCACTGTCGTTATGAGCTCAAACCTTTCCAAGAAATCTCATTACCAAAGGATTAAAAAACGCCCAAGTGTTAAATACTTTAATCTTAAAAAAGCGTGACTACCCAAAATAATTAATTGCGACGATATCGTTACACAAATGAATAAAAAAAAAAAAATATGGCTCTGGAAGGGACAAGGAAAGATGTTTGGGGAATGGTAAAAATAATTCAGAGCGTCGAGGGTCGATATAATCATGAGAAAAGTAGATGGGAAACCAAGTACTCCGCGTAATGAATGTCTTTCGTAAATTGGATTCCAAGGTGTATGGCCCGAGCAACAATTCCAGAAAGATTAAATCCCTTTAATCCTCGTCTCTTCTGCTCTTTAATATTTCATTGATCGTATAAAAAAAAGTCAAGAGCGAACCATTAAATTTGTGATTTTCAAGCTTGGACTTCTATAAAAACAGAGTAGTAAACAATTTCATTGGCATTAAAAACAATTATTCCTAATAAACGTTAAAAGTCTGAAAAGCTCTGTCCAACTGGACTGTAATCAGCCGCAAGCAGCTTCCAATGACATTTTCTTTCCAACTCTCGGTTAATTGAAGTTGTTACTTGATTTTCTCTGAGGCGTAAAATCCAACTTGCCACTCCCTGAATAAAAATCCAAACTTTTGCTTTAAATTCTGGATTAAACGTAACTTTTGCTCGAAAAAAAATGGACAAAAGAGTTGGACCGAGCTTAGAATTTAAGGGATTCTTACATCTGTCTTTAACGACTTGCAATTAGAAAAGTTGTTAGGGGTTTCTCAAACCGAGCCTCCCTCGAGGCGTTAATTAAGGCAGCTACCCCGAGAATGTCTCCAGTGGTCTTATTGTTCTCGTAAAACAGGGGCACTCTGTGCAAGCTCTCCTGGATGCGTAAAACGCCGAGTACTCCAAAGTGGAAATACCGCACACATTTTTGACCATCATCCTCGACTGATTTGCAAAGTATATGACTGACAAGTCCTCTGTAATAGTATCCAATCACTCGGTAACTGCGTGCACGTGTGCCAGTGGCTCTTGTTTCTCTCGATATACAGTATGATCACACGAGCACGTCCCTATTTCTTTGACAACGTTATTGAATCAAATTTCCTCTTGCTTCTCCGTAGCCGAGAATCACATTATATCCATATGGGCAACATCGTAAAAGTATAGCTGTGGGAGCGAAAGTACAGGTAAAAGGACGGGAGCCCACACACTGATCTGTAATTTTATACGTGTGGTTTTTTTTTTCGGTACATTCTCTATCATTATTGTTCGTTATTTTGGCATTGTTGCAATTTAGTTATCCCGGAAAATTTTTCTCCGTACGCACTGATTTAGTTACCTTTTTAAAAAATCGATAAAACACAAAAGTGCAAGGGATGTTCCATTAAATAATACACGGAGCTAAAGTTGGACGAAACAAAAAAGCACGATTGCTCCTTCACTTTGTGCACTGATGAGCTTTAAAGCTCGGCTCGCCGAACGAAATATTTCACTGCGTACTCGGGCAGGCATTTCAAGAGCTACGGATCAAACCTGATACATCAGATTTTTTTTCTTTTTCTCATCAAACTGCATGTAATGCATATTGGGATCCCTTGTCCTGGGAATCAGAGCTTTTAAGCTGAAAGTTGCTGATACTCGACATTGCTCCCGGATGGACTAAAAAAATCAATTAACATCAACTTTGCACCAACTTTCCGAGGGAATTCCGCAAAAGTGTCGAGTAGAAACAAGTTTGCGCTCCGAACCCACACTAAAACCCGACTGTCGTCACTAGAGTTTCAGGACAACTCGACACTTGTAGGGAAACAAGATGCGATTCCAATACGGTTTGCTGCGATATGACTCGGTTGTAATTGAAATCGGCCGGGCATCTCCGGGGCAACTCGACGCCCTGGAGGGGATCGATAGTTGGAGCGTCAACTGCTCACCCGAGGAGTTCCGTAATTCATAGGCTTTGCATTTTATAAGCGGCTCGACTTCCTCCCTTTTCCCCCGTCGAGAGCCGTAAATCGACAAAGTTGACGTGAGAAGAGTCGGATTTCCGATATTTTAATTACGCGATGGGAGACGCGATGTGAAAAAAGGACGGACCCCGAGATAAGTTCGGATGCAGTGGTTTGTATAATGTGCTGGTGATTTCCCTCGACATCGAAGTTTAATTTTCTCATTCAAATAGGCTCGGAGAGAGGCTGACTCGAGGTGATTACCTATCAATTAATGAAAAACCGATTTTCTCATCGTCACGAGTTACACTTGTGAGTAGGTGTTTTTCCGGTGCTGTAAAACGGAATATTTTTCTTTCCCTTGTTCACATATAGCCATTGGCTGCCACGCCGCAACGAGAAAGAAAACCATCTTCGTCGACCCTCTCCCGGTAAACAACTTTTCGTTTGTACGTATATCTGATGTCCCCTTTGCTGTCGCCAAAAAACAAAGGAAGGGAGATTCACGTCTATTACTCCCCGTGGACAAACACATGCAGCCTGATGAATCGGAATCCATCGAGTGTCGAGCGTCAGTAGCACCAGCAAACGGCCAATTACCCGGGGTCGCTTTGAGGTGGTAGAGCAAACGATGCTGCTACCGTGTGTACACGCACGGAGTAATTATCACTGGGTTTTGCTGACAGTTGGCTCGCAACTTGGAAATCTCTCGACTCAAGGATCATACGTACGACGGATAAATAAGATTATTCCACTGTGATCTGTTGGTTGCAGGGCTTATAAAGTATATGTATAGTGTCAAATCAAACATTTGGAAGGGGACGTTTAGATCCGAGGGATCACGGAGTTTGCTTCGTTTGCGTTTCTCGATATTTTGTATTGCCGATAATATAGTCGTGCTCATAAACACGCAGTGACTTTTGTCACCGCGAACGGGTTGGGTGTACGTATAATATATAGAAGGAAGATTATACGTTGACTGCATTGTGCCCTAACCGGGGGACTGTGACACGATTTAATTCCACTTTTGATACACCATTCGTTACGCTCTTTTTTTTTTTTTATTTGTCAATGCTCGTTTAAAGTTTTAACTCTGATTAACGTCGATGGCGATTTTTTGTTGTTCGTTTCTCCTAGCGATGCAGAAAACATATTTTCCAGGAAATGCGACAACGCGAGTTGCGCAACTTTTTAACGAAACAAATGGAGTATACAAGAGTTTGAAAACTCCGCGGGTGCAATCAAACTGAGCCGGGAGCGAGATTTCGAAAACTTTTTTTACGCGACGATACGCGCCTACTGGTTCTTTAACCAAAACTCTTTATAATGAATCTCGTTTTGTTCCCCCTTCTTGCTCGAGAACTTGAATTAAATTTCACGGAGACGGGCTCCTCCTCCTTCTGTTTCATTTTCCTATTATCTTTTCAATATAATAATAACCGTATACTTTTCGCCACTTTATCGTGATCTAATACGTCTGCAACTTCATAAGATGAAATGGAAAAGCGTCGGATGTCATTTGAAAGGAGGAGACAAGAGCAATATTGCGATGTTTCTTCTTTCACGTTTTTTTTTTTTTCCCTACTCCCTCCTTCTCGAGATATACGTAGATCGCTCGATTCGATACGAGGGCCATTGAAGTGTCGAAGGCAAGACGCAAGCGAAACGAATTTATGATTTTTTTCCATCAACAGCAGAGATAACTGTGGGATAAAGGACTCACTTGACCAATCTGTCTTTAATTTCAATTTGACGCTGATTAAGCAATAAATGTAAAAACACAAGTGTGCACAACACAGTTTACCACAGCAGTGCAACATAATATATAAACAATGTCATTTGACAATAATCACGATTTCTCATGTACTTTCCAGCACTTTCGATATCCACACTCGAGGACCAAGCTCGCACATCAATGCCTTTGATAGAAAAGTATAGCCGTCAAACTGGATGATTGCGTGCACATACCAATTACGAGGAAAAAGGGCGTTTGGCGGTGGTATATGCCTAATAACGCGACAGGAATACCTGAGGTGGTCTAAAAACGTGTTCGGCTCGCGTGCATAGGAATCGGACGGAGGACCAGTCAACTGTACCACTTTTCGTAAACAAGGGGCCATTATTTAGAGAGAAAGAAAGAGAAAACAAAGAAAAAGTCGTGCAACGGCACAAAAAGAAAGAAAAAAAAAAAAAAAACCACAGTCAATTATATTGCCCAGGGATATTTTATAGAAATTTATTTAGAGTCGCACTCGTAGCCGAGTTTCGTTTTTTACGAGTATACACCTGTAGGATATCGCTTCGACCGAGAGGGGAGCAGACACCAAGCGAAGCCAATATAGCCACAGAAGAAAAAAAAGTTGGGACGGGCTGTCCTCGCTCGTGCATCCAATGTCTTTTGTGCATGACTAGAGTGCCAAAAAGTGGAGGGGCCTACGGTACCATTGCGGAAATAACGCAGCCGAGGGAAGCAGGACGTAAGAAGTGAGCGTGACTGCGGAGCGCACGGGTACGCGCCAAGGCTTCAGGTACTGGTGACCGATGTTTTTCCTTCTGCAAGGGATGATATACGTGTTATGTACCTACGTGTTGCACGTCCTGTTTGTGCTACTGGTGTAAGTCGGTTTTATCTTTCTCTCGGTCGTGCGCGTACACTCACATTTTTATCCTCTCTTTTTCTCCAAGCATGGGCCTTGCTCGTTCGTTTATTTAAAGATGTGCTCCATTTTCAATGTTCAAGTATATATACATTAGATTAAATCGCACGATCCATATCGCACCAAAAGCCCATCCTCAAAATCAAAATCACTTGCTTGTTCCTTTTTTCGTTCCTACCATCTGTTCATCATCACCACCTCGCACAGTAGGTGTTGGAAGACAATCACAGCTCCGAATCCATGGGGCGAACTTCTCTCTATCTCGATCGGAGCAAAACAACTTGCGCCAGACCGCCTGTCCCCTCGACTCCAGTACCGGCGAGTTTCCGTAGCCGCGGCTTTACGCGGTTCTCCCACGCCACTTTCCTCGCGCGGTTTTCCAAGTTCGAAATCTGTCAGCTGGGCATTAATCACCAGTTCTATGGTGCACGAGTCGGTCGCCAAAGGGGGAAACTGACGGTTTACAATGTGGTTAATCGTTAACGGGTTAATTATCGAGTATCAAAGTTGGATGATCCTGGCTGTTGGTACTCGGTTCGCGAATTTTTTAACCAGCTCGTGTCGCGGCTGATTATTTACGGTAATTAGCTTCGTGCTTTACATTTTTTATTTCGTACTATTTTGTAATTTTTAATTTAAAAAAGACACCTTTGTGTAATATGTAAACTGTGACGTTCGGGATGAGCAATCAACAAATTTTTCTCTTCACATTTATTACTATTATCATTTTTTGGCTTCGACAATAAATGCACTTATAATAATTTCAAATATTTCGTGGAGTCAAGCTGTAATGGACCAGCTGGTGAAGCATGTGATTTCTTGTTGGTGTTAACACTAAGATGTGTTCGAGTCATATCGTCCATCACAGAGGTAACGCGAATGAACGTGAAAGCACAGCAACGCTAGTATGATTGATAAAGTAAATATCGATTGATAATAAAAAGCTAAAGTGTATTCTGTGTTTTTTTTTTTTATTTACTTTTTATTATAAAAACAAAAATGTACATAGGTAAGTACATCTTTATCTGGCTAGGAGGCTTAATTTTTATCACCCAACGGATAATATGGTTGAGACCCAATTCTCAAAAGCAAATGCGATCGTTATCTTCGAGTGGCTTCTTATAAAACCGAGGAGATAAGACGGGGGGTGGAGGGAGGGATTCCGGCGGTCGTGCGGTTCGCTTATTGCGTCGTGACTAACGCGGGGAAATTTGTTTTTCCAAGCCCACGTGGGTTGTACGGCGTCACGAACGTGCTTTTTTTTCTTTCCCCCACCGGTAATAGAAACCATACGTATGCCGGGTTAGCTTAATGGACCAGTGGCTCTCCGAAAGCTCATCTGTTTGAAGATCCCGTTGTGACGTTTCCATACGAATTCGCATTTTCACCCGGCTGCCTTCTAAAATACCACGGAAATTACGGTGGCTCTCTCTTCTCTCTCTTTCAGCCGTGCTGTTTTTTTTTTTTTTTTTTTTTTTTTTATCCCTGCGCTTTGGGGAAATGAAATTCACCTCGTACATCGGATTTTAAACGGAGGTGCGATCCAGGACTGTTATTGTGGGGTGATATCGTTCTTTGGAATTGAGAGTGAAGGGAAATATTCTCGCCATGCTTTCGGGACACTTATTTTTATTTATTTTTTTTTTATGACGAGATACGCGGTTTCATTCATACTTCATTTGGCAATGTTTGCTCGTACATGTCCACACTCTGCATGCATTTAAAGACATTTCAAGCTTCTCGGCATACACATTTCTACAATACGCTTGAAACAAACGCGACTTATCAGGTACATCGGAGGAGCCGTATATTTTTATTGCCGATGGTACACATCCGAGAGGAAAACATGCAGGGCTATGATACGATACGAGCGAGGAAAGAGAGTTTACACATGAGTGAGCGGTGGTGTTGGGTGCGATGCAGGGCTCGAAAGCCAAGAGAAGAAATGAAAACAAATTTAACGCTAAAAAGTCGTGTGTTGAGGATGTTTTTGTGCTACGTGGCCTTGTAGTTAAACGGTGTTCGATAAAAAGACTGCCACGAAAATCTCTATGGACGTCAGTTTGTGCTCACGAGTATCGTATTATGGAAATTATTGGGATCACCTTATCTTGGGTATTGTAAAAGAAAATTTCATTTAAAAAAAAAAAAATAAAAAAAAAACATAAAGTAAATGAAGCTTGTTCGAATGAAAAAAAAAATGTTTCACCTGAGTTAGCTTTTTTAATTTCTACACTAAGCTATTTCGATGTATATGGAGCAGTGAAAAAGTTAGAATAACTTTCCGCAAATACCTCCACAGCATTAGGACGAATGAAACTTTGATGGTTTAAGTGCGATTTGACTTTTCCACCTACACATATCCGTGTGCATCTATCCCAAGTGTTCTTATTGAGGGTGCGAAAAGCGCATACAGAGAATCTAGTCAAATATTTACCAAAGGCATCAAAGATTCAGTGGACGATGCAGCCACTGTCTCGATTACGAATACCAGATACCAGAGTACAGACATGAGTTTACAAGTAGAGTACCGTCCTTTGTACTTTTGGATGGAATTTTAATGGATATTTTTTTTGGAAAATCAATGTGGATCGCTCAAGAAAATATTAATCAATCAAAGTACATAACGTACATAAACGTCCAACGGTTCCTTTATCAAAATCGTAATTCTCGTCCCGAAGGCTCGAGCCATTTATTTCGAGTTCCTCCGTTTATTGACTCCAAAATCGAAAACTTGTTTGACAAAAAGTCATTCGAGTGACAGAAGGGCAGCTTCGAATCCTTACACTCGTTCTGTTTCTTTTGAAACGTCGATTTTTCATTGCCTTTTACCGCGATCGGTGCTCTTTTCGGCAAGGCAAGTGCACGACAGAAAGATTAACGATCCTTTTTTGACACCGTGTGTATATAAAAAGCTCATGCCAAAATTTAAAAAAAAGTTGCAAGTGTCGATAGTGTCTGTTTGCTAGAGCTTTTCGGGGCCGATAAGGGATGGAAAGACTAGAAGTGGTGATATTTCAGCCATCGATCAGAGTTTTTAGGGATGAATACTTGGCGCATACTATGTTTGTCCTTTTTCTTCGTAACTAATAATCCTGGTACACCAAAGTTGATTGTTTCCTCAAATTATTCCGATTTTTACAAACAACGCCATGGTTGTTTGAAACTTTTCGATTGGATGGAAAATCTTTGCATCCAACGACACGCATCATTTTTATCCTTCAATCTCAAGAACCGGAGAACTTCGTGGCATCCACGTCAAGATGTCCGGACTCGGTTCAACGAGACTCCGACAAATGAAAGAGCCCTGAGAAACTAACGAAGCCACGACGGGAGTGAGCTAAATTGCTCGGTCAGCGAGTGTTTGATAGCCGGCAAAAATTTCAATTAAAAATGGCAACTCTACCTGCTTCGCTCTCTCCTTTTCCCACTGGATGCTTACTCTTTCACAGTTATTTTCGCGAACCTCTTTCTGTGCAAAATTTCACGTTTTTAAGGTAGCACGAATGAGCGCACTTGTGGCTTTGTGAATTGAAAATTCGTAGTTGTAAAATATAGAATTATGAATAAACTTCACAATGTCAATTATTATTGCTTTCAGCACAATTACAATCTGAGCTAGTAAGGCTCGTTATTTATTCCGCGTGACCAAAAAAACTATGTCTAAGCTCTCAGTTTCATTCCTGTGATCTTCAAGCGTGCAAAGCTATGTCATTATTTGGCAAAAGCACATCCAAAACCCGCAAAGTAAATGAGGTGGTTCGATAAAGCCTGTGCCTTTCTTTCTTCGACTCCCGAATCCACCCCGAATGAGGGTAGTATACAACCACCCCAGATTCGGGAATTCCGAGGTGTTTTTATCGCTCCTTTTTTTCTCTCGTTACTTCACGAGGTGGAGTTATTTCGGGGGGTACCACCCAAAGCAAATGGCGAGAGCTTGACGATAAAAAAACTTTCGCATCTGTTGTGTCTGCGATCGCGTATCTGTACGTCTCCCGAGGTATCCTAATCCGCCGTTTCGCCCCGCCCCTCCCTTTTTGCGCACATCCAAATAGAAAATGAAAATAAAAAGCAAAAAGGGCCGTGCTCGGGATCGAGGAGCCTTTAAGCAGCTTCACACAGACAGGTCTATTTGTCAGCTGTTACTTTCTCCCTTTTACTCCCTGCAAATTTGTTTTGATGTTTTTCCGACGAGTCGATTTTTCTACCTCCCTACGCGAGTGGAATGAAAAAAAACCTCCAAACGGAATACATCTAGAGTTTTATTTTGGAGAATTTGCTCTAATCGCAATCAAGAGAGCGCGATTTGATAGAAAAAAAAAAAAAAAAAAATTGAGTCACCTGCTTACACGCAAGGAAAATTATCTTCTGCAAAACCAGACGCCCATGATCCATAGGCACGCTTATCGCTCCAATCCAATTAGGAAGCCTCAACCAAACTATAACGGAGAAAGAGAAATAGCTCGATTGTTAGTATCTCGCTGATACGTATACAATGTGGTGGCATCGTGGTAAGTCTGCCACGGGTGAAGTCACATCCGATACCCTTACCACATCAAGACGCGAGCAAACGAAAATAAATCGAGGAATAACGATCCGTCGAGCGCCACCCACCTTCTCCTCCTTCAGCCACGGATCTCGGTCGAAATTAACTTTTCGCTGTTACTCACCGAAGACGGCAGCTGTTTCTCGGCGAAAGGAAAATATACCGACGGTGTCCTGAATTTCTTCGTTCGCTCTCTCACGTAAATCTCATTTTTGCATCGAGCGGTGAAAAGCATCAGCTGATTCGGGGAAGTAAAAAGTTCGTCATTGCCACGTCTGACTAAAAATTGAGCTACTTTCCTTGCGACGGCAACCGGTGTTTTTTT